GCTATTTTACTGTAATCATTCTGGTTCTGCTTATTTTTTCCTGAAATTGGTTCGCTTTCAATTTCAATTTCAATTTTTTTTTTAAATATCTTTTTTTTTTTTGTGTCATCTCACTGAACTACATATTTGGTCAATCTATTGTAGTCCCCGCCCCCTCACACTCCTCCACCAAACATATTGACACTAACATCACAGACCCCCAGCTGCTCCGTTGTAATTTATTATCCCTGCTGTACCCGGTGGAGTCATGGAGTCAGCCTGGCCTTTGTGACACACCAACACAATTACAAACACACACACACACACACACACACACACACACACACACACACACACACACACACACACACACACACACACACACACACACACACACACACACACACAGTCCATGTGTCTATTTCAAACAGTCATTTCAGCCTGCTGACCAGCAGAGACCTCTTTGGCTTAATTAGTATAGAGTCCTCGGGGAGAGTCCAACAGAGCCAAACACACTGGAAGGATGAAGGATGTGAAATGAGTCAGGCTGTCGGAAAAAAAAGAGGAGAGTAGCTGTCCTCTCTACATGAATATAGTTATTTGTTATTGCATGTATCCCTGATTCAACATGGCTCTTGTATCTGTTTCTTAGATCAATCCGTTCAATCAGTCCATTTTTATTTACATAACCCCAAATCGCACCAAATGTCATCTGATGACACTTTACATATATATAAACCAGACTAAACTCTATGTGGTGCTGTTTACAGAGACCTTTAACGTAACACAGGCAAGAATTTTGAAAGCGTGGCAAGGACATCTTCCTTTTGACAGTCAGAAACCCCGATCACAACCCGTCTCACTGGTAGACAGCCATCACACATGTTTATGGTCATTGTTTTTGCATTCATTCCTGATCCTTTTTCTCCTCTCTCAAATTTACATTTTGAATACTATAAATCAGACTACCCAAGGCCTCCCACTCACCTTACTTGTAAGTCCTTGTTATGTCACAAAATCTCTGGGGCTGCATGAGTACATCTTTTTGTTTGCCACATGTACACTCCCTTCATTTTTTGTCATTCTCACACTATGTTACAGAATAATATGAGGCTTTGTAACAAAACTGTCCATCTTTTTTTGATGAACTGGACATATAAAAACATAAACCTTAATTCTCGAAAACACTTTCGCTCTCAGGTCAAAACCTAGTACTCCCCAAATGTCAACTTGGAAAGCAGTCATGTTTTTAGATGGATTCATGTTTTGTTTTTTTCCTTTAAGCATTCAAACCAGTGAGCAGCACAGAAGTGCTCAGAAATATTCTCACGATACAAACAGCTTTGGCCTTGTATATATATAGTTAGCATGTATGCATGTGCAAGTAGGCTCCTCTGTCCACACATACAAATGCACACAGAGGCACTCTGGGAGGAATCGAACCGTAATTATGCCTAAGGTAAAAAGGCGATTAATTTTTTAATGGATTCAATGTTTTATTCATAGCACCTATCAAGTCTTGGATATGGCAGAGCACACACAGTACCGGATATCTCACATAGCTGAATCACATATCTCTGTAGCATATGATATGGTAGCATTTGGGCTGTGATGTGGACATATAGATGCCATACATAATTTAAGAAGTACAGCATGTCATTTCCCCTCCCTATAAGAAATATAGAGAGGCCAACAGAAAAGGAGCAGAAGAAGATGAGGGTGTTGTCTACTTAGACCAGTAAGACCGGTTATTCTGTCCTAGAAATCCATTATGGAGCACTCAGCGATCAGCCACCCGGCTGTGAGAGGAATATTCAGAGATACTGTAAATCCGGAGCATGTTTAGGATGATCAAACATGTCTTCATTCTACTGCTGATTCTTGTCCCGCTGTGTATGGTTTAGGTATCACTTGAGCACGTTTATTTGTGGAACAAAAAGGGTGTTAGAAAATGTCGAGAGGCAACTGGAGGTCACAAATGACAATACAAAATTCCAATGAATGATACAAGTGTGAGGCTGAAACAATGCAGAAAAAAGAAGACAGCTGCTTCAATATAACATCATCATCATTAGAAATATAAAAATAGGAAATAATCCCACTCAAATCTCATTCTTTAAAAAAAACCAAAAGATTATTTCTTGGGATAATGAAGATAGACAGGACATTTGGGGAAGAAAGAGTGGGTGATGATGAGAGTGGAACCTGCAACCAGTGACTTCACCAACTTGGCCAAACCAGAACCCAATTTTGATTAAAATTTTGATTAAAATTCTACAAAACTCTATTATGATGACCATTTACATGAAAGGCCTAATACGATATTTAAAGGGACGTGTTCTATAACTGATGAGAACTGTCAGTACCACTGTATTTGGGGAGCTGTGGCGATCACCATGAAAAAGGGGAAACAACAGAAACACAGAGTTATGATAACGAAAATACTACTCAAACAGCGTCATACGGTTTTAAATATCAAGGACCTGGAGCATTTGGCTATCAATGAGTTCTAAAATCTGAATTTAGATTTTTATCAACAAACTGCATATGACCCTCTCATTTGGGATGGTGCTCCCCACTAATGCCTACAACTTTCAAAGTTCAAAATTTAACCATTATTCTAGTTATAGCTAGAGGGTTAGCCAGTGACGGGAACTCATTTGTTACTGTTTGAAATTTAACTGTACAATAGGTCTGAAACATGTCAGGATCCAGCTATGAATGAATGAATTGCTTATAGGAAAAACACATTTTTTAAATATTTTTTTGGAACACAGGACAAGACGTTAAACGCAGCAACATTTTCTGTCACGAGGCCTCTGGAGAGATTGCACTATAGTAATTCACTTCAGCATCACATTGTCAAAAGGTAAAAACAGCTGACTCAAATTCACTTTTTAGGCTATTTGTCTACAAAATTGTATGGCGAGGGTATTTGGACAACTCGCATCAATTTGCCAGCTAAGTGTGAAAAGTGTTACTATCAGACATTCGTAATCTTTATTTCAAAAATCGGATTACTTTAAGCCGGTCACCTATAACCAATACCTATAGCCAATACCTGCCATGCACCTCTCATTGCTTGCTTATCCTTTCTGCACACTCTTAATAATGCACAACACCACATATTCCCTAATTTATCACTCACTCCCAGCTGGACCTTAAGTTACAGATTTATTAGATAGCCATTTGTGGCTTCGAGGGTCGGTTAGAGAGACAGAGTCAAAGCTGTTTGATGACCTCGAGGTGATAATTACCGTACAGGAGAGAAGGACATAGAGGAGGACACAGATAAACAGACATGGGGAATGGTGTAGGCGAGTGAAGGAAAAAAGGGCTTGATGGTCAAACATCTGGCAGAGTACAGAGAGGTAGACATATAGGCAGGAAATAGTGTAACACACTAATCAGAAACTGGAAGCGACTAGGATTAAAAAAAAACATATGGGTTTAATACTGTACATGCAGGGAAGGATTGCAGTTCTAATAGTTTCTGAAAACAAGATGATGAAACTGTTAAAAATGAAGCTATAGATACAAGACAGTTAGCATAGAATGATGTCTAGAAGAAGCAAAGGAAACCGCATGGTTCATGTCAAAAAAAAAGGAAAGGAAAAAAGGCCCCATTAGCACCACATTATGCTCAGGTAATGAACATATTCATTCAGTTCAGGGTTCTTGCCAACAACATAATAACCAAAAGTCTGCACAGAGGCACGATACAAAAATAGTCATCTCCCGTCCACTTATCATTCGTACATTGTTTCAAATCAAACAAACAAGATGTAAAATGTGAATTGCTGAGATTCAAAAGAACTGCAGATTCTTTTTTTTTTTTTTGTACTTTGGGCACATACAGCTGTGGAAGTACTGAGCTGGAAACTGCAACTGAAACTTGTGGCCAACAGTTAAATTGTGCAACATTTGTAAACCTATTTACAAATGTGCACAATTCTGATAAAAAAACATAAAAATAAAACAATCCAGTCAAATCATGATATCAATCTCTAAAAGGTTTGTTGCCAAGATTGTTGGAAACACACAAAGTAAAATGTATGTTTAAAACTACATAGTTAAATGCAGTGTTGATCAGGTCTTCATAAGTGTTCATGTCACCTCTTGCAGCACCCACGTCACAGGAAGAAAGAATACATTCACACGTTTGCAAAAAGTAGAATCTATGGTTCAACTCTAAACTGTAGAACGTGTTTACATGAAAACCAAGTTAACCTAGAAGGACTGCATAGAAAAACAAACAAAGAAAACATATTTTAAAATGATAGTCTAGTGCAGGGGGTCTCCAACTGGTAGCTCGTGGGCAGGTTTACAGTAGCTCGCCTATAGGTTGACCGACTGTTGAAAATTAAAATTAAAATCTGACGACAGTAAATGCACCTCTTCCCACTATTCATATAATTGGCCCATAAAAACAAGTATGAAGTAGTAATGTTTTCTTGGACATTGATGTGAATTTAAGATTATTGATAAGCATTGGCTTATTGCAGTTTCAACAGTAGCTTAATTCAGCTGAGCTATGTAAATAAATGCAAGTGATTTGATGCAAGTAGCCCTTGGCCACTTTCATTTTTTTGAAAGTAGCTCTCAGATGAAAAAAGGTTGGAGACCCCTGGTCTAGTGATATGTCTCTGTCATTTCGACAGTATATTCAGTAGCTGAAGCCTGGGATACTCTTTTTTTTCTGAGGCAGTGCGATTCTTTCGACGGGGGGGGGGGGGGTTGGGTTATTTCAGTTTTCTCACGACCTGATACCAGCTGCATCGTGAAAGGACAGGACCGTGCTGGGAGGATCTTTTTTTTTTTTAATCATTACTGACCTCAGTGGGCAGTACTCACGGATGACATGTTTGTATTATTGGTGCATGGACGAGAAGTGTTGTAGAAAAAGGGGGCTAGGTTGCCGGCCCGCTCGGCCAATCTTGTACCGAGGTGTGGCTCACAGGGGGCGTGGCCACTGTTACAGAGGGGCGGTGCTAAAAGCGGAAGTGTGTCTCGGCTGATCTCTCGCTGTCATTCGGCCACGGTCGGTTCCAGGAGAGAGGGGCAGCCAAGAAGCACATACAGGAATAGGCTGGCTCTGTAGGAAAAAAAAAAGAAGAAAAAAAATTAGTTAGCGAGAAAATATACTGAAATCAAACGAACAATGAAACCAATCGAGTAAGGGTTTCTGGGAAAAGAACCGCGGCCGAATATATCTAACACACTGCCACGTTAACAAAGCTGTGTGATCATTTTTAGTCCAGATTAGAGGCAGCAGATAGAGGAGCTGTGTCATTGAGCAGGCAGGACACGTCAGGAGAAGAGAGAGAGAGAGAGAGAGAGAGAAAAAAAAAAGAGCTGACCGACTGCACTGTTCGAGTCAGATATCAGGAAAAAAAAAAAGCTTTTTTTGCCCTGACTTTCTCAAGGACACTACCTTTTTCTCAACCCGAGGGACGGATCTCGACAAAGACTTCGCCGAGGGTCGAAGGTGGTGATCAGAAGGTGATTAGAAATTATTATTATTATTTTTTTAATTCGCCGGGTTTTCCAGCCAAGCCAGCTAGCATCCGTGGGGCTAACGCTTAGCAGCTAACGTTAGCCCCACGGTTGGGAAAACGTTAGCTCGGTCAGCTAACACGTCGAGTTGATTTAAGAAAAAAAAAAAACCCAGCTTTGATTGTCGACTGTCGACACTGTGAAACAAATAAAAACGAAACAATTGCGTGTGGAATTATCCATTTAATGTATTTCAGCCTTAACAAAGCAGTGTTCGACTTTTATATGATCATTTTTTTTTGAGGTTGTACTCTCGTTTGACTCCTGACAGCTGTCAAACAAGGTCGAGGTGTTTTCTCCTGAACGCTACGTCGCTTTATCTGTTAATTGTTTTCAACGTTCATTCAACATTTAACGCCACTTTTGTTTTCTTTACGATTATCCTGTTTGTGTTCAGTCGTCTTGTCACTGTGGTTTGCGCGAGGAAAAGCGTCAGTAAAATGTGCATAATGTGTCGACTGGATGCAGCAGTATATCTGTGTCGGTGTCTGCCAGCAGCTCAGCTGTAGCTTTTACAAGCTGCCGACGTCACGGGGTTATAATTAGATAAAGATGTAACGTTAACTCTGTTGGCTTTTTTTTTTTTCTTTCTACAGCCCAGAGTAATGAGGATTGATAATTCAGTGCAAGAACAAGTTCATTCATATTGTGTAACAATTATATGTCCAGGAATTCTATGAGGCAGTTAAGAAGGGTTAGTTGAAAAAAAACCTCATTATGTCAGAAAAGCAATGCCCATCACCTAGTTGTTTCTAAATCCTTTGATCTGTAGTCTAAAAAGAGGGGCTGAATGCTAACTCAGTGCATGCCATCCTGTGCTCTTCTCTCAATAGGACCAAACGATCACGGGATAGCATTTGTGTGTGGGGGGAGAAAACAAATGGGGGATTACGGGTTTGGAGTCCTAGTTCAAAACAACACTGGCAACAAGTCTGCATTCCCGGTCCGAATCCACCCGCATCTGCAGCCCCCACACCACCACCAAAATGTGTCGCAGAGCCCCGCTGCTTTCATAAACAGCACCACAGCCGCGGGGAATGGCACGACGGGAGGCTCTCCCTGGCTCTTCCCTGCCTCGGCCACCCACAACAGCGTGCAAGACGAAATCCTGGGGGGCTCAGAGAAGCCTAAAGCGCAGCAACAGGAAATGCAAGAAACGCAAGAAAAGCAGCAGTTGTCCCCCGGGAGTCACCAGGAGGGTGGGAGTGGTGTTGGGATCATTTCAGAACTGGAAAAAGCCCGGTCAGAGGAAGTCAAGACAGACAGTGGCGTCTCTGAAGGAAGTAATGGAAAGGAGAAGCAGCTACGTCTCGAGTCTCCTGTCTTGACAGGCTTTGATTACCAGGAGACCTCTGGTCTTGGGGGATCTGGTCAGGTCCAGTCCAGTACAACCTCGTCATCACTTACTGGCTTCAACAACTGGTCAGCTGCCATCCCGCCGGCACCGTCAACTATCATCAATGAGGACGTCAGCTTCTTTAACCCCGCCTCTGCCAACAACGGGCCCCTGCTGTTCCAGAACTTCTCGCACCATGTCAGTCCAGGATTTGGTGGGAACTTCTCCCCCCAGATTGGACCCGCAGCAGCCTTGTCCCAACACCACCCTGCTCCCCCACCACACCCCCACTTCCAACACCCCCACAACCAACACCAGCAGCATCGTCGCTCCCCTGCCTCCCCACATCCTCCGCCGCCCTTCCCGCACAGGAATCCTGCTTTCAGCCAGTTGCCCCATTTGTCCAACAGCCTGAACAAGCCCCCGTCCCCCTGGGGTCCAGCCAGCTACCAGAGCCCCTCTCCCTCCCCTGGCTCCTCCACCTCCTGGAGTCCCGGAGGAGGCTATGGTAGTGGTGGTGGCGGCTGGGGAGGATCTCAGGGCAGAGATTATCGCCGTGGGCTGAACGGTGGGATGACTCCCATCAACTCTATCTCTCCGTTGAAGAAGACCTTCCCCAACAACCACGTGGCATCCCAGAAGTACCCTCGCAATAGTCCCGCGGGCTTCAACCCCAAATCCTGGATGGATGATGGAGTCGGCCGCAGTGATAACATCTTCCCCTTTCAGGTAGGTCTATTTTTGATAATTAATTGTATGATTTATCATTAATTCCAGCTCCCCCATCCCTTTTATATAAACTTAACATACTATGTTTTTTTTCCCCTGTGTGCACTCAGTGTGTTCTTGCTTTTTTGAGATTGTCCCGCAGTGGCCGCTTGCTGCCTGAATAATTGAACGTCAGGGTGTCATTTATGTGAGCTGTTAATTTTATTACAGTATGTGGTATCGTTTCTATTTTTAGAAGTGGGGGAAGGGCAAGGATTTACATGTTGCATTTGTCACTACGTTAGCTTAGAAATCAGTCCGGCTCAGTACTTCCACAGCTGTATGTCCCCGATGATGACTAATGTGGCTCTGTCACTGCAACGGTGTGCCTCATATACAAGCTGGGTGGGGGGGGGGTTTTGGGGAGTGGGGAAGGCATCATGGATGGAGAGAAAAAATGGGAGAGGCTGGTTAGATACGAATGAATAGAAGAGAGGGTGCAATGAGTAAGATCGTGGGGAAGGTATTCAGATTGACAGAGGCTAAGATGTGAATAAAGTAAAAATCGAGATTCACCAATCACAGGCTTTATTTCATACTGGCCAGAAGCAAAGAGGAAAAAAATGAGTTAATACAGTGAATTTATGGCACAGGTCTAATGCCTAATGATTTTTAGGATTACTGATTTGTCACTCAGGTCGTGGCTGCCATAGCCTAGCAACTGGTTTTCTAAATGCCAGCCTATTCAAAGTGTAATTTTCATAGTCAAGACCACTCAAGATAAAGATGACTCAAATAATTGTGTTATCACATGTATAAAACAGATGAGAGGATTGATTGACAAAGGTAAAGGGAGCACAGAGATAAATGAATTGTATTGATCTGTCTCGTGATTGATTGTTTCGGCTGTTCCAAGGAGGTGGGGGTTAAAAAGAGAAAGGTTGCTATTGACCCTCTTTGGCCAGATGGCCGGATGAAAGGTTTCTTTAAATCCTGTACAGTACATATCCTCTGTCTTCTTCATTCGGACAAGGTTCAAAGATTAATTTATGGTCAATTCTGTATCTGTATGTATCTTACTTGGTTGCCACCAGCTATTATATGATCTTGGATGGAAAGTTTTACAATTTGTCTTAATGCTGCGTTAGTTGTTTCAGCTGTCTGTCAAAAGGTGAACAGCGTTAGTAATTGGGTTTAGAGACCACCATGCCCGTCCATGGGGAAAGCCTAAGATGTTTTGTTTACTAATGTATTAATTTCCTCCAGGCATCCAGATTAAATCAAATTTAAATTTAAAAGGTGATGCTTAGAATAACTTTTGAGGTTGTTTTCACATGTAATTGCTGAGTCACAGTGTGAAACTTGCCAAACTGTATGTTGTTCTGACAAGTCTGGACATGTCTTTGGGTAGTTTTGCTGTATAAGCAGTGAAGCTTCTCTCTGAACAGCTGTTTAAAATTAGCTAACAACATTATTATTGTTTGTGGTCATGGGGTCAGGTTTAAATCAGGCCAGTTGTTAATCACTAGGGTCTAATCCTCATCCTTTTTATTGTGGAATTGTAACATGGTAAAAGCAACTTTTCCAAGCAGCTTACTTACCGTAAATAAAAATCGATCACTTCCTGAGCAACACAAAATTATAGAATCTCTCTTTGAACTGCGATCTTACTGACTTCAATATTAAGCTTTAGATGGCATTAATGTAGCTGCAGTATGGTTCTCTTCTGTGTGGTTTAATCAGCTGAAGTAGAATGTCCTGCTTCCCTCTCGATACTGCAAAGGCAAATGGAGGATGGGCACCGAATGGCCTTAGCCCGGGTGTGTGATGTGTTCATATGTGAGTGTGACTGATAATGTAACTATAGTATAGACCATTAAATAGTTGTTGTTTTTTTAGGTCTAGATTGATTAATGTATGCTAATGACCACCCTAAAAAAAAAAGCTGAGCAGTGACTTCCCATGAATTTGTGTGAGGTGATCTAAAACAGCTCGATACTAAAAGAGACAGTGGATGAGTTCCCTAACACTCACAGGCATGCAATGCACTAGGATCTAGTGGATCTAGCTGTTACCTGTAACCACAAGCTGATACCTGTATGGCACAGACACGGTGAGATAAAAATGAGAAAAGTTGCATTTCTGCGGATCACGTTCGGCCCGAACCATGGGGGTCTGCTCCAAATGGAGCATCCAGCAGCAGCAGTATTTTGGGATGGGCCTCAGGCCAGGCACACTGCTATTAACTGCTAATACTGTGGTCAGCAAACTAACCTAAAACCCCAAATCTGTACTTTTTAAACCCAGAAAGCTGTAATTTTTCTTCACTCTACTTTTGTCCCCACATCAACCCATCTGAGAGCTATACCAGCTTTTCTATGAGGAGTTTTGGCAGGATCTAGTCAATCCCATCTTGAAATTGGTCAGAGGGGAACATTAGGTGGGAAAAAGAACTAGTCATGCTCTCATTTACACCTACATGCAATATATAAATCTACCAGTAAACTCAAGTTTCATGTCTTTGGACTGTGAGATGAAATGGGAGCAGCTTGAGAAAACCCATGCAAATGTTTTTCCTCATTTCGACGTTCCTCACCTGCTGCTGTGTCAGGTGTACTGGGCTGTTTCGGATTGGTAAATTTGGCCAGCAGCCTGCAGGGCCTGAAGGCGAGCGAGCCAGGACAGGATATTGTCTCCGTAAGCTACTTGGGTAACTGTTGGTTACGACTAACCCCTCACTGTTTGTGTAGCTTACAAACACTGCAGCCTTTCAAGTGCTGTTATATGAAGGTGTGTTATTAAAGTTAGTCTTCTGCCTCTGTTCAGCTGTAAGTTGGAAAACTTAGAAGAAAGCATGCAGTGAGTGTCTTTTGTCAAGGCAGTGAGCTCCTAGCCAATAAGCCTGTGGTTTCAGCAATTACCCATGGTCCTTGTGACTTTGGTGTTAAATGAGAGAATTGTTTTTTAGACTAATGAGGGGACTGAGCAGTGCTGGCAAGCGCAAAATTCTGCTGCTCATACAGCCTCATTGTGCCCTTCTTACACCCTTGACAGAAGCTTTGAAAGAGCACTTGTGTGCATGTGTGTGCATGTATGTGCATGTGTGTGCATGTATGTGCATGTGCACATACCCATGTGTGCATGAGCCCTAATTAGTCCCTGGCCTATGTCTCCTGCACATGTGTCTTAACAAAGGAAGAAGACAAAGCAGAGTCTATGTGGAGGTGTCATATTGTATTTAGCCCAGTTCATTGCTCACAATAAGGGTCTAATCCTGAAGCGATACAAATACTGCCGGAACCCCCTAGCTCTGTCAGTCCTGTTACACCCCAAATTCACACATACACACAAAACTTCATTCAGCCAACTCTTGGTAATAAGCTGTTTTTGACAGTATGGGGTATTTAATGTCATAGCAAGCCTTTGAAATACATTGACCAGGAAGAAACATAATCGCAAGCATCAAAAGCTCAACCTGCTTCCCTTTCCTGCCCTCCTTTCTTCTCCTTTGACTCTGCCTTACATCACTACTTGCTTTCCCTCTCTCCATCATCTCCTTTTCTTTCATCTGCCATTTCTCTCTTCCCCTCTCTGCTGTGGGCTTCCTCTCTCCCTGTTGTCTCAAGCATGTGATTAGAAGCACAAATCAAATACGGGCGAAAACTGCAAATTTCCCACCATTTATAGCAAGGTGGATTAAGAAAATGATCTCTACCCTGTAAAAACCTGAAAGTTCATAGTGCATTCATGTTTGTGTTCTTTACCTTCACAAAAATCCTTCACCGTCCCCAACGACCATTTGACATGGAAGATTAATGTTTGAATTAATCACTCACAGCACACATGCTGTATTTAATCATTCTTTACTTCACTACACATCATCAGAATCTGATGGAGGCTGCCCTATCTGCTTTGTGGTGCATACGATTATAGCCTATTTAGGCTTTGATGCATATGTGCAAGAAATATTGGACAGTTTTGCTATTTCAGATCTTTTTTTAACTTAACTACTATCCACAAGATGAAGCCTCTAAAGGGTTGATTTTGTGAATGCTTTTTAGGTTATTTAAATGCCCTATAACACTATTTATCAATCTTGTGCTATGGCTGAGTCGTATTGACTGGAGATGTGTAATATAAGCAAGCTGTGCACAGCCTGGCCTTCAATAAAATCAATCTCAGACCTTCTAAACTGAACTCATTTCTCTGAATGTTCTACTGGGTATTGACAGTGATTTTCGGTCAGGGTGCAGGTGATGTCAGACTTAACTGGAAGAAAGGTCTATCGTGAATGGCAACACACCCCTGTGACACGAGTGTCAACATTCCTGCACCCACTGTCTTCAATGTGAACCAGCATATTGGCACAACTCTTAAAAAAAAAAAAAAAATCAGCTTGTTTATCACAACTCCCAACTGGTTTAGCACATCCTGGCCACTGTACCTTGACCACTTCTCTTTCAATACAACATGGACAGCGCATGGCATTCTGTGAAATAATGGGTGTATGCTTCACTTCACCTTAAGTCTATGTTATAACTAGAAACACCCACACTAATAATGTTATCATAAAAGTTATCTTGGAGTTTAGGTTTCTTTGGCTGAATCTGCAGGTTACTATCTTCTTTAATCTGACCCCAGGTAAGGCAGTGACTATGAATGAATAGCAGTATATAGATTTTTTCCCCACACATCTAATGTACCGGTATTCAGATTTTGGCTGAAATTTTGGTTTTGTGTACTGTCTCGTGTGCACACATGCTGCCTACTTTTAAAGTGAGTTTTTCATGTTTAGTATGAGTTCATTTCTAGCAAAGTTTGGTTCATGTAGGTCAGCTCTAAACTAATTGTTGAAATAGCAACGAGGCTGGGTAGAGCCCATGATGCTCAATGCAAATAAATCAATAATGCTGGCAATCGACAATCACAGTAAAAAGGGGTGTGTTTAATATTTTAGCTCTAACCACATAAATGTATAGTTTTTGTATTTTTGTCTTCATCCAGGTGCACTAGGCTGCATTTCACCTTGCCTGCAAATAATGGAGTGTGTCAAGCCCTGTGTGCTATCTTTATACCTATGGCCTTGGGTTAGGGTGGGCAAGCTAACAGATACACAGACATGGACTACACAGTAAATTGTGTGTGTCTTGCTTGCTGCGTGTGTGTGTGTGTGTGCGTGTGCGTGTGCACGTGCGCGTGTGTGTGTCCTGCAGTCTGTCAGGGATGAGTACTTCTCTGGTCAGCTGGCCAGTTGTTGAGAGAGAGGAGGAAGCACGAATCTGATGATTAATAACCGTCTGCAACTCTCCAGGCTAACGCTTAGCAACAGCAGAGCACCGTCCATTCCTCGTGTCCGCAATAACAAAGTCCATCACAGCCACAAAATGAATCCCTATTCTCCTGAAACAATATGATTAGTTAACACTGTGAAAGTGACTAAAACATAATCGTAGCAAGGAAATGGTATGATAAGGAATTATGACACCCAATGAAAGTATGTAATTTCTGAGCTTCTGGTAAAGAATCATGGTATACTAAATAAATACTATAAACTTTCTTAATGTATCTTCAGAAATCATCAGAAATATCATCAGAAATATTGCACTTATCAATATCATCATCAGAAAGTATCATCATCATCAGTATCATCAGAAATATTGCACTTCTTCTCAACCAGGTCTGGGTACTTTCCTACACTCACTAGTGATGTATGCATCCTGCAGTAACCAGACTTACACTTATTTCTTGTTCACCTGTCTACGAATGTTTGGTTTATTCATCCTGAAGCAAAAGCCAAAGTCCACATAAGATACTGAGGCGGATATGAGAAAATAGTCCACATAGTCTGGCCTACATCCCTGTGTTGATATTTGTTTTGAAGCAGAGCGTGTGCCCTGGGTGTGTTCTTCTTACCATGTAATCTATGTTGTCGTATGTGCTACCCTTCAGTCAGTGTGGGAAATCTACACCAGCCAGAATGTTGGCAAAAATGTTGGCTACAACCGGGAAGTTTGGCTGTTTCATCAGCCAGTGTGGCAGACATCCAACCACACGCTTTGGCTGATCAGATAATAAAAGAAGGTATTGAGTTTTCAAAGCGACTGTAGACACCAGACAGTAGATGGAAAAGTGAGTCGCCAGCCTTTTTGACCCTTGATCATGTGGTTCACTGACTAGCGATGTTGTTCTGAACCCTTTAGCGTTTGACCCCTTTGGAGTTCATTGTATGATATGGCACGCTATTAGCTTTTCTTCCCTAGGAGGTTCTGCCTTCAGATGTCCCTTCATTGGCCATCAGTATTTTTTTGTGAGGGTGTAACCTGGTTTGTGGATGAATGAGAGGTAAGGCATATTTGCATTTGTTGGAAAGACAAAGAGTGACTACAATTTACTTGCAGACATGTTGGGTAATTCTTCTTGTGCAAGGCCTTTCCATTATCAGTCATGTGGAGGGCAGAGCTGATCATGTGTGTTGAAGTCAGGAATCTTTTCAGACTTTTGAGCAGAGTTGAATTGGAGATGAAACCGCTCATTCAATACTGTATTCTTCTAGCAGGACTGTCGATGTTTTTCTTTCTTTCATTTTAGGTCTACGGCTTACCAAGTGTTATGACTTTAACACATGAATAAATAATTCAATAATGTATCGTAAACATGTTTTTTAAAGTCAGCCACAATCAGGCCATTAATTCCCTCTGTCTTTACTGTCTGCCTTAAGTATTCTGTGTTAATGTTTCCTTATCCACGAGACTAGTAGATGTAACTTTAAGCAAGCCAGTTGTCAGAAGTTTGTCATATTTTTGTAATGTTCCTAGTGTGCCTTTTATATATTTTGGGGGTTTGTGTCACATACCAGAGAAATATTTAACCTAAATAATGAGCCTCTGAAATTAATAATTTACAAAAATTACCCATTGGAGTTGTCTGGTAGCATAAAAGGCTAATTTAATAGGCCTCAGCCTTGCTCATTCTGGTTCACCAGCTAACCAGTAGAGAATTGTTGTGAGATGTCGGGGTTATGGTCCATAAGCAGGTTCTTTACTCATTCACTGTAGTGAACACAACGTCCTTTTCACAACTACCATACCTGAACCTGAGCTCATGTAGATACTTTCTGCTGACTACCATATCTTTACCCAGTAAACAACAGCACATGCTTCACTACATCACATTGATAAGTAACCAAGAGGGCCAATTTCCTTAGGTAAATACTTACTGCTGGGCTAATTCCTGATATGTGGCTCTAATTTTGAAAGTTAAAAATGCAAGATGTTGAGTTTCTATTTCAAGATTAAGAACAAATAGGCAATGTCGTTGGGAAAAGAAGCTTTTAGCTTTAAACTTTGTTAATAGAATAAGTTGTGAGGCTGTGAGTCATCACATTGTCTGAAAACTTGGTCTGTCAGCATTCTGTCAAGCTCAATCAACTCTAAGATGATGATTTCAGGTCTAAATCTACGAGCCTCTGAGATGTATGCTGGCATTGATATTACAAGCCTATATTTCTCAGTGAGTTATAAGAGCATAGCTTTCACAGTACCTGTGCAAATACTTAGATTATTGTTTCTACTATTGATGCTTCTGTGTTTCAATGTGTTTTTTTTTTTCCACTGCTGTACTTTAAAATGAACTAGTGGTTGGCATCAAAGATATGAAGCAGAAAGGAAGAAAAGTTTATTTCAGTCGTGACCAGACAGTTTAAAAAAATCGTGACTGAAAATTTTAGTCATCTTGTGCAGAGTCATTGGCACTGTGAGATCTCTGACACATGAAAGAGGAAAGGCAAACTTTTTGCTTTTAAGGAGGCATGCATTTGAAGAGACAGAGAAGAGGTTGGGGAAAAACCCAAGGAAGAAATGCGGCAGTGTCAAGCACATGATGTTGTGACCTTCATCAGCAACTGATATAATTTATACTCTGGTTCACTTCAGTAGCTTTTGTCTGCTTTAATGTTTATTTTGGATAGAAGGAAGCTTAAGGAGCTTATCAGTTTGTTACCAAGTTGTTGCATATTTGGTTTGGCTGAGGTGGAGTCACAACATAAGCCTTATCAGCAAGGCACTTGGAATATGTGTGTGTTTGTGTATGTGCAAATGGTTTTGATGCCTGCACATATTTTGTGTACTTTGCATGGGTGTGTGTGTGTTAGTGCATACAGACATTTCCAGTATGGTTGGTATGCCAAAGATGCCCTTGTTTGTAGGTGACAAAGCTGTCTCTTAAGAATTGGCTCAGCTTCTGTTTGGTTCTGCTGCTCATCTAATTGTTGACATCCCTCAGCCTCACTGACTGAGGGAGGTTATCTTTATTAAAGGGTACTTCACCCGTGAAATGTGAAATACATTTTGAAGGTGGTGCCTTCTTGGCCGAGAAAAGGCAGAAAGTGTCTTTTTGGCTCATGTGGATGAAAGACACCAAATCGTAGTATGTAATATTTCAGAATCAGAAATACTTTCTTCATCCCAGAGGGAAATTCGATCGTTAAAGTTTCTCCAGAATATACAATATAGCAGAAGAAATATAGTAATAAAAACATTTACAGACATATTTACTTCAACACATAATTTCCATTGCCATTTCCTCAACTGATTCCGAGATTTCTTCCAGAATTGATCTTGTAAATTCCTGGCAGAAAACAGACTCTATGTCTGTGTCCATAGGCAAACAGTGAGAGCACCGACACTACCAGTCCGCCCCAGGGCCCCGGCTCCTCGTCCTCACCGCCAGCAATATAGCACTGAGACGGTTGGTGCCGACAGGCCGGTCTTGTGTCGCGGCGGTCACAAGGACAGCCAAAACACAAGACCGGCCTGTCAGCAGCCACCGTCTCACCGCTATATTTATATTTTTTCGCCATTATCAGCTTTCTCCATAGAGCCTGTTAGCATAGCTTCCAAGCAATATGACGGACGTTTAAGTTTCGATTCTGGGAGTGAGTTCCCACCCACTGATCTGTGATTGCTCTGTAGCTTCAGTGGTCGAAAATATGAGGAACTAGCGTTGTAGTTTCACCCTGCTAACCGCAACAGCTTCCAGTGATGCTGAAATCTTCATTTTGCATTGCTTTTCAGACAAGATTTACCATCTGAAGGGAAACTGAGTGATGCATGACCATTCAAAAATACTACCAGGTTTAAAATGCAGAACAGAAATATGTGCCCAAAAGGGAATACTTTTAAGAAATGGTAATGCAGAATCTGATTTTTTTTTTTTCTGCCACTACTGTTTTCAGAATATATTTGTTCATCACACGAAACTTCTAGGATCTATATGCAAACTTGGACCTATTTGTTGTGTTTGTGAATCCATCTGTTAGGGCAAATGCAAACAATGTCAGTATAAATTAAGGAGACCAATCATGCGTTTTAATCCTCACAATACCCTGGCATTGCATTTGGAAAGGCAAGTTGGAATGTGATATATTTTTTTCACAAAAAAGAAGTGACTTATCAAGTCTTTGAAATAGTATTTTTTCTTGCGTAATTATTAAGAATACAGTTTCCTCTTCAGTGTGTGCTCTTTTGTCAGCTTTGGTGTTGTTGAGATAGATAAATCTAAATTGCTCTTGCTGACTCCTTGGCCCTTCACTCACGTCAACTGCAATGACTTTGAAAGAATTCCAAGAAAGTAAATGTTGCTTCTTCTTTCTCTCCTTTCTCTTTAGGAACGCACCAGATCATTTGACAGCTTCAACATGAACACGCTGGAGAGCTCCCTGATCGACATCATGAGGGCCGAGCAGGACACCCTTAAAGGTGAAAACGCCAGCTGTCCATCGAGAACACGACATACGCAAAACTAGCTGTACAGTCCTTTTCATTGACAATCTGTTAACAGCAGGGATTCTCATCGTGTTTTTAAACACATGTGACAGGGCAGTCATTTCTTGGTCTATTTCCCTTCATAATCAGAAAATTATTAACAATGGTCGCACTTATTATTTGATGAGCGAACGTGGCTAACACAATATTTATTCATGGTTATTTTCAACTTATTTTAAGTTTCAAAATGTAAACTGAAAGCTCTAAATGAATGATTAAGCTTCCAATAAACTTCTGAAACATTCATAATAGATTACATAATGTTTGGCAACTAAGAAACTATTATTATTTAACTTTCTCATAAATTAACAACAAACACAAGTAAGTGATCATTATGTTCATGTTGCAATACCATAGCAAGAAGTAGCATAACTTCTCACACACTCTTCCTCAATTGAACGCCTGAGTTTTTAGCAGAGTTTCACTTCCCCCACAGGTCAGACAACCAGACACTGCGTCTTCTTTCGTTGTTTTGTTGTTAAAACTATGAGAAAGGTTTGCGAGTGTAGCACAGGCAGCGCACAGCTCCCTTCTTCCTCTTCCTTCTCTCTTCTTTCCACTTGTAAGTTGTGTGCCCAAGTGTGGTGCAGTAAGTCTGACCTCTTTTTCTAAGGCGTTTTGAGCAAGAGATGCGGAGAGAAGAATATGAGGCTGATGGAAGCTTAGGCTTTGTATTTAAGAAGAGATTTGTACGAGAGAGAGGGAAGGACTCCTACTGTTGGCGATCATTAGTTTATAATGATTGCAGCTGCAGTGTCCCATTTTGAAGGATGATTACCATTTTCTAAAAACAGTAACAACACAGAGTTCAATGTTCATTTTTTGTCAAACCTTTTGAGAGTGGCTTTGATTTTTGACCACTTTGGTGGATATCGACTGTGTTGCTGTTGAAAGGCATTGTGTTAACAATACAGGTTTTTCAGTTTGTTTGTTTTTTAGCTTCCTGTATTTGAATTAAACAGAGTGAGCATAAATAATAAGGATATATTCATCTGATAGGTTTTGGTTAAAAAAGGAAAGATTCTGCATCTTAACTTGACGATGTAGAAGCTCATAATTGGCTAAAAAAAAAGAGTCATCAAATGGAAATGTGATTTCAACTGACACTTGTTGTTATCTATAGTGACAAGCAGATATCAGTTATTGGCTGGATGATGATTAGTCAGTGGTATCAGAGAAATGGGTGATTGAATATAACAGGTATCCAGTGTTGTTTACTGTTTAAGAGGTTGTAACTCTTAAGTTTTTATAGACATGGGTGCTAAGCTAACAAAAGGTCTGTGGCCATTATAAGACGTTGGTCTGAAGGGAATAAGTCGTAGAAGGATTCCTCTTAATGATCGTTGTTGAAACAAAATGCTGAAGCTTGATTGGTTTGCAGACTAGTTTAAGTCATCAACTACATTTGTTATTACATTATAGAAGGCTTCATCTAGACCAGTGGTTCTCAACTGGTGGGTTCTTTAAGAACAAATGAGTGTTGGTGTTAAAATATGTTTAATTGTTTATGAAAAATTCAGTATTTCGTTTTTATTTATTATATTTAATTGCGTGTTTTGGCAAACTTCTCTAACATTAGTTATCATTGAAATGTATGCCGTAATTTACCGTTTTTTTTTTTTTTTTTTTTATCCTTGGCTGGCGTTAAGCTGCAACATTTGGTTTTATGTTGGTGTGTTGGTGTCAATGTCGGCTGCCTGCAAGTTAGCGAGAAGTGTCCAAAATGTTTTTTCATGTTTTTAAGGATTATTTTTGCACCCTACTTCCAAAGAGAAAGTACATTTACTAACTCCTTTTTGTCAGTCTACGTCAAAGTGCCTTCTCTTACATTTTTTTTGTTTTGTTTAAATGATCCGACTCTACAGTTTGTCTGACCATTTCAGTGATTGTCAGGATCCCACAGTCATCCCAGCAACTGTCTGTCATAACCAAGCAGACATGAAGAGGAGGCACCTTCATGCAACACCAAGTCAAGAATTTGCCATGAATTGTTTAAGCCTGCTGTGTGGGTGGGACTTAATTGCGCTCTGTCTCTGTGGGCCTAGTATAAGAATTTGATAGACTTAGGTTTCTGTATGAGAGTAAATGTTAATACAAAAGATTTCAAAATGGCAGTGACAACATTTGTCAAGCTTTCCTGCTCTGTATGTCCCCAGACCAAAAAATTCAAATGTTACCGTGGCAAAAATCGAAATCAAACTGCAATTAGGTGCAGCATGTTGAACACACACAACCCGTGGACAAACGTGCACACTCGTACACACACTAGTCTCAGTACTAGAATAACAAGAAGGGTGAAAAGTCTGAGCTCCAGACACTCTACTATCACCTCATATTTATTTCAGCCTCACACCCACTGGGCTCAGCCACATCCAGCTGTGATCTAATGTTCTGCTGTCAAGCTTTAGTAAATCTTCCCTCAATAATAAGAGAGGAGGACTGGAAGGTTACCTCATTAAGCACATTTTGGTGTCTTAGCTCCAGCCATGCTGGCACAGACTCCTGTGACTGTTGGATCCAAGAGCTGGGCACCAGACGAACAAACACGTTTTCTTCTAAATTGTAAATTGAAATCTTCTGCTTTATTACAATTCAAACCATGAAGGGTTTTGAATTTATAATGACATGATATTAAGCAGAAGTGATGTTAACCCCAACTTCCTAAATTATGTAGAAGCTCGGTCCATTTCAGTAACAGTACAGTTATCTTTGCCAAAGAAAGATAGGCATCTGGCGGTGATTCGATTTGCTAAACCATGTTAATCTGCTATCTTTTCAATTCATCTCACACCCCTAAAGATTTGTTCATATACACTTTTGACTGCTTTCACTTGATACATCATATCCTATCGCATAATTCCTTCTTTTTTAACCTATAGCCGTTGGCCTGCTTTGAAATAATACTCTTATTTATTCTTAGTTGTCACTAATGATCTAGACTTGTGCAGTGCAGTGCCAAGTGTAGCAGTGACTAAAGTGACTCCTCTCTTTTTCCCTTAAAGCAAAGTAAAAATAGAGACATAATTACAGCACATTTTCTTCAAGTACTAACTCTTCTCCAGGCTCACTGCCTCTTGCCCTCTCCTGCTCCCTGTCACACATGTTGATGCATGTACACAAAAAATATAATTACCACAGACAGCTTGCATACACAAGCACGTTTAGATACACATAAGCAGAAAGCACAAATGTCTCACTCCAGCAGAACATATTGGACAAAGTGAGAGCAATGAAGCCGGGGAACAGGCGAGGCAAAATGTCTACTGTAGAAAGTGGCTTTGAATCGCTTCCAGCATTGTCCTGACTGACAGAAAGGATCTCTCTGTTCAGCCACCACACACACACACGCACACACACACACACACACACACACACACACCACCACCAATGCCTTGTGTGTCCTTGTGCATGCTTGTGCCTTAACCATTAATGTTCTGTATATGTAGGCAGCCAGCAGCATGCAAATAAGGTTCACAGAGCGGGCACACACAAGCCTGCAGACACACAGGGATGTGGTGTGCTGACGTGCCTGCACACTTGCTCCACAGAGACCATTAAAGACTTTTAAAACCCAACGTGATGGCTTGTGCTCAGATGTACTTTGATTTTGGGTGGTGCACCTATGAGCACACACTGAATGATACCAAGCCAAATTACAGAGCGAGATAAGCTGAATTCTGCAAAGCAGTCCAAGAGTATCGAGTGTCTCTGTTAAGTAACCTGGTTTTGCTTGGAATCTCTGATTTTAGTTTAATTAAATTGAGTGTTTTACCTACAGTTTTAATGCATTTCTTTAAAGTATTAGAATCTACATTACAAAATGCTTTAGCATAGTGTAGTTTTGTAGATTCTGAAAGCCAGGAGTTTTTTTCCATCCTTGTTTCTGTGTTCAGGGAGTCCTAATTCTGTTTTATGCACCACATCAACTAAGAACTGTTGGGCTCAATAGGCGAGGTGTTGGGGAGGGGCTAGCACAATACCATGTGATCGAGGCATCGGAATGCACCAATCACAGGGCGGTCCTTACCCATACAACAATGGTTGTACTATTTCAACTCTTTCATCTCATTATCCTTCTGCAGCAAGCGGGTTTGCATAACTTTGAAGCTTGTTTGGCATCATAACATGCATTTGTGTGAGGGTGTGTTGTGCGTGCAAGGCGGGCTTGGCAAATGGCTCAATGTAAAATGTATGATACGAGGCTCAGAGAAAGACAGAGGGAGGCACACATACGGAAATGGAGGTCGATGAGAGGGGGAGAGATGGTTGGAGTCCCACAGATGTACTCTCTAATAAGATTGATGTGGCAGAAATACTCGGTATGCTCATATCTGTTTTTATCTATTTGTTCTGATACACCCTCTGTTTAGTATGATCTTCTGCCCAAAGCCCAGTACAGTTTCAAACCAAAGGCTGGTCCTTTTTGTCTGGAATGTGTCCGACATTAACCACAGAATTGTTGATATAAAGTGAATCTCTACACATGAAGTGATAATTAAGGATATCATGGTCACATCCTTTGACAGAATGACAAACTGATAGTGTTTGTACCATTCCTTTAAAGTGTGTGTTTATCTAGACATCTGAATGTATTTGTGGTTTACATTTCTGTGCTTGTCTGAACATTTTCTGTTAAATCTCAAAATGGGCGTCTAACACCAAAATGAAGATTAAACAGCGATCAGCAAGTTCATCTGAAACACCATGGGGGGGGGGGGGGGAGGATTTTTTCCAAGGGTGATTTCATTCCTACCAAAGCTTGGGATGTTATTTAAAATAATAAAGTAAACAAAATAACATTGGACACATTTTTTCATCCATACTATATTTGTAATAAGACAGGTGTTACTTGCAATACATGTAAAACTTTTGGATTCTTGTTAATGTATGTGGTCAACATTTAGAAATATGCAGCCCTCATAATATAAAATGCTTATGTTCTGTGTCTCCCCTGTGCAGGTCGCTTGGGGTTCCCACATCAAGGTGGTGACAACCCTCTGCCCCTCAATGGTACGTATAGCAACCTACGCTTTGTGTCTATTTAATCTGTTTTTGACGAGCTGCCACAAAGTACTGCAGGTGGTCAAAGTTGGGCCACACAAGATAACCATGAGTGTTTAGTGACTTGAAATCCTTGTGCACCATTGCTTGTCAGGACTTGACTTCAACCAAAACATTTTGCATCCCTCAGTACCCCCCTCTGTTTTTGTAACTTAAAATATAGCTGCCATGTCAACTCTGCCCCTTTTTGAATGTAGTTTTCAACCAACAAGAAGTTCTGTTGACCACCATTCATCTAGTGTCTTAAACAAACAGGAATATAGAGAGGGGTGTTAAGGGGATGAGTGGATGTAGAGAGGATAGGGTGGTTTTTGACACCAGAAAGTTAGCGTAGTTCATATAAGCTAAACCTAGATCAACACAACTTTCTTGTGTTAAATTGTTCATTTTTTTTTGTTGATTTAGCTCCTTCCTTCCTCAATCCTCGTCAGTCTATGCGGGAAAACACGGCGCGAGGCGTCGCACTGCGTTGATCGCAGGCACTTAGGACACTCCAATAAGAAACAATAGAATCAAGCTGATTTTGTCACTGACACTGTTAGGACAAGCTGTTAGCCTAATAGACAGCCATGGAAGTATCCTGAAATATACTCCTTTAATCATCCTTTTGTGGAAAATACCATGAATAAATACTGTAGTTTTTCGCTGTATTTTCTGTGACTTACCGTATTTTCCGCACAATAAGGCGCACCGGATTATAAGGCGCACCTTCAATGAATGGCCTATTTTAGAACTGTTTTCATATATAGGGCGCTCCGGATTATAAGGCGCATAGAATAGAACGTGTTTACAACTGAACAAGGCTGGGAGATATTGTGAATATATAAATATAAATACGTATAAAACTATGTTTTATACGTAGTGCATTCACAATAACTCAACGTTGTTCAAACGTTAATGTGCATATTCACAATATCTCCCAGCCTTGTTCAGTTGTAAACACGTAAAAGAAACACAGTCTGATACCGCTAATTCAAACGTTAGTGCATAACTCAACATTGTTGAGTTACGTATAACACGTAAAGCTCACTTTTTCAGTTCATTCCCCGTCCACGAATCCCTCGAATTCTTCTTCTTCAGTGTCCGAATTGAACAGTTGGGCGAGTACGGCATCCAACATGCCCGGCTCCCTCTCGTCATTATCCGAGTCAGTGTCGCTGAGCGCCGTGTACAACCAGTATGGATCAACCAATTAACCAATTGATCCATATATAAGGCGCTCCGGATTATAAGGCGCACTGTCGTTTTTTGAGAAAATTAAAGGCTTTTAAGTGCGCCTTATAGTGCGGAAAATACGGTAATCGATAATGATATGAGAGATACTTTGGTACTTCACTGAAGAAAAGAGTGTTACGTAAATTGCAATGGATGAGTGAACCTGGCACATCCTTTTCACATGCTGCAGTTTTCACAACAGCAGTTTAATATTCAGCAACCTCTCCTTGGCTTCACATACTGTCATTCTTGTTATCAGTGTGTAAGTGTTTTGTTGTGGTCTAGGACCAGGATGTAGAACAGGAGAGGCCAGCAGTTTATTTACAAGATCGCTAGGTCACATGGTTAGATCACATGGTCAGGATCTGTCATCAAGCCCTGAGACAGATGGTGCCAGCGGATAGGCAGGATTCAGAGGTTGCACACCACCTCTCTCTCTCTCTCTCTCTCTCTCTCTCTCCCTCTCTCCCACTCTCTCTCATAAGCGTACACAGATTGCATTCCTCATTCTCCTGATCTCTCTCGCTCACTCTCATTTTCTCTCACCCCCACACGGCTTTTTATCAGCTTGTTTCTCCATCTCTTCCAATCTATTTTTCCCTCTCTCTCTCTCTCACACACACACACACACACACACACACACACACACACACACACACACACACACACACACACATCTTTTTATAGCACTCTGCTCTCTTCCAATCTGCTTTCCTGTTTTCCTCTCTCTCTTCTATCTTTCTAGCTCTCTCTGACCCCCACCCCCCCCTCAGAGTTAATGTCCATCTGGGTTGGAAAGTCCACTGAGGGAGCTGAGGATTATTGCTTGTGTGTTCTGGCCGCTTCTTCATCCCCTCTCCGTGCTCTTACAATGTTAGATGGGTTGATGCTTCAATCTCTCCACTGTGCCGTTCTCATTTTTACCTCGCCTCTGAGCAAAGAAACGTTATTTCCCATAGAGCACATTCAACAAAATCAGTAAAAAGAGCTTTTTCTTATGTTCACATGTTCATGACAGTGAACTGCATTGAGGGCTGTTAGATAGACATTAGAAATATTTTAAGGCAGAAATTAGATTCTAATCATTCCCAACCTACAACTAGCCAATCTGCTCATGGGATGCATTCAAACTTTTTTAAATGAATGATTTAAATTGAATTAAATAAAAATGAATTGAACTAAAAAAAATTTAAGCAGCATCGAAACATACATAAGGTTAAATTTGTGCTCTTAGATTCTATGCTATCTGTTTTTAAGAACATGCTGAGGTGCTTTTATAAAGTGAATTGTAACCTCTATTAGTTCCTGGATATACTTTCTATGGTTGCCATGGTCACACGGGAAGAAGACGGAAGAAACCTAGAGAAGTTTGAAAGTTATCAACTTGTGAAACAGAACCAGAAAGCTTTGCACACATCCTCGTTATTGGTGGCAATGCTGCGTCTGTTGGCCACGGGACTGTTTCTGTGTTTACCCTGGCTAACAATGGAGGTTGCAACGGTAACAGCTCGCTGACATGGATACAACTTGTTTTTTTAGTCTAAAGCATGACTGGGGAGAGCAAAACGCATGTTGTGAAATGGCTGGCCGTTCCCAGAGACACTTACTGCTCTGTTATTGCTTCTGGCACTTTCATTTGGTTTATGATGTAAGGAGGATTTTTTTTCTCCCCTCCTTGTTGTCACACTGGTGCTTCCTCAACAACAAATGTAACACAACCACTGCCACTGGGAGTGCTTCGATTATAGTATTATTTAGGGTGAATTTAATTATTTCTCTGTCAGTGAGACCAAACTGAAAGGGCTATAAACAAGTTTGAGCGTTATAAGTAGACTATCTTATTATCTTATCATCCTTGATAAGCCATGGTGTGCCAGAAGGTTCAGTCCTTGGACACTTTGATATGATTCTGGGCCATAATCAGGCAATTGTATTCTCAGTCAAACTGATTAAGGTGGAGAAGTTGCGCAACTGTTTAGCCTATGCACAGAGCTTTAAAAAATAGATTATCCCGATAAAGGTATTTAGTGCGGAAAATCAGCATTTCATCAGAATGATTATAATACACAGTTGACAGATAAAGTAGAGGGTGGGGTAGAAGAAAATGGATCATCTCTCTATTGCCATAAACCACCTGGCACCTATAGTGTATTATGCTTCTTTTATAATCACTCTCTTCTTTGGTTTGTGCTTATTCCACATGCAGCCAGGAATTATAGCAGGAGACGAGGTAAAAATATAATCCCGGATATATGATGTCACTTTTCCAGCATAAAGTAAACTATGTAGGGCTGTTCATGTTTTGTGATGTAAAGCCATGCCGTCGTGATTTGGAGTTGTGAGGCGTTGGTTGTTTAATTGAATGCACACATACGTTTTTGAATGACTCTTCAGTTCGTGTCCGTACAGTGACATGTTTGTCTGCATGATCGTTTTGAGTGTTTAGCCTGGCTAAAAGCTCTTACAAGTGATGTAACGCATCTCTCATTTTTTTTAAAATTATTTGTTTCTCTTGTATTGCTTGACCCTCGCTTGTTTTTTTTCTACTTATTTTCACACACAGATTGTGACATTGTCAGGTCACACAATAGTTGTTAGTGTTACTTTTAGCTGAAAGTTAACAAGCAAAAAAAAAAAAGAAAGTGTAGTTTGTGTTTTACACTCACTGCAACAGAAGAAAGGACACATGTCGAGGCACATGGCCGGAACGACACACACATGCTAACCCCCACACATAAAGACACACACACACACACACACACACACACACACACACACACACACACACACACACACACACACACACACACACACACACGGAGCACATGCTGTAAGCTCAGGCTAACTCCCTTGCATAAATCTTTATAAAGCAGCTCAGGGCAGGTTTGTAAGGGAGCATGAGTAGGCCAGAGAAGGCTTAACCTCTACAACACACTTGCACAAAGATGTACAGTCCACTGTGAAACTATTTAGAGTTCGGGTTTTATTTTACCGAACCTGCATGCTTTTTCAGTCTTCCGTATACATTGTTGAGTCTGTTCTTATGTGTTTGTCCAAGTCCTTTATACATTACTGTGCTATCTTCTATCATCCTGCACCAACTCTTGGTTACATAACTAAAATTAACTCATAACCACTTAATTTTTTTATAATGTTATAATCTCTTCACCTTATTTAAAATAAACAGTAAAAGGTGCCTGCTAACATGGCTCTATAAGTTGAATTTTTTAAAATTTTAATGCATTCAAAGTAATGTGCATGAGATGATAGTCACTCACCTGAAGGATGTGGAAAGTGTTTTTAGATGTTTTGGCTTCCGCCCATCACCGGGTGAATAATTCAATGCTGTGAAAAGTGCTAATGTACAGTTTTTGTTACTGCACTGGTGCTGTAACTATGACAACGGTGACCCCAACTCAACCTTTACTGCTGGTTCTCTCCTCTTGAGATTAACCTTTCCTGCCGTCCTCCTCTTACCTTTGTCACAGGTCACTCCTCTCTCTTCCCCATGGAGGATGGTTTCCCTGACGATGAGCGCAGCGATCAGGGCCTCGCAGGCCTCGGCTCTCCACACTGCTTCCCACACCAGAACGGTGAGCGTGTTGAACGCTACTCACGCAAGGTCTTTGTGGGAGGCCTGCCCCCGGACATAGATGAAGGTAAAACCGTTTACTCACATCAAATGACTTAAATTGTGTTGCCTATTTAGCCCTTTAATTGATTGAAACTTTCAAGATGTGTGACCTTATTGAAAGGACGCATACCCTAGGACACATTAAGAGAGTTACACCTGCAACACAAGCCTAAGGACCGCCACTGAGTGTGTATTGTGTCTGCTTAATTTCAGACGAGATTACAGCCAGTTTCCGGCGGTTTGGACACCTGTTTGTGGACTGGCCTCACAAAGCAGAGAGCAAGTCCTATTTTCCACCCAAAGGTATGTCAAATCATGTTTTCTCATAATTGTTTGCTGGTCTGCTAAGGATAATGAATTGCCCTTTTAAAAATGTTATGTCATTACCAATTCCTGAACCAATTTATCACATCAAAAGATACGTTTCACTCTGATGTCTCTGTCTTTCTCAGAGAAATGTCAAATATGGTTTTAGTTGTTGCCTTGTATTGGTGCACTTTTAATGTAAGAGTGTCTGTGCAGTCTGCTTTACAGACTTTTTGTGGAGAATTTTAAAACCATGCCTGGCTTGTTTATGTGTTTCTCCATCTATTTGTAAAAGCGTGTGCCCTCCTGCTGTGAAATGCAGAATGTTGTAATGAAACATACAGTCACAGTGGTCATCACACTAAATTTCAACACGGCTCTTTTGTCAGCAGTATGTGTCCCCAGCAGCATGAATAACCCTTCTGTTTTTTATGTAGGCTACGCCTTCCTGCTGTTCCAGGATGAGAGCTCAGTGCAGGCTTTGATCGATGCCTGTATTGAGGAGGACGGCAAGCTGTACCTCTGCGTGTCCAGCCCCACCATCAAAGACAAGCCGGTCAGCAGGAACACTACACACACACACACACACACACACACACACACACACACACACACACACACACACACACACACACACACACACACACACCAATATGCTCCCACAAAAAAAGCTTGTTTTAAATTGTGCATGGTGCAATTTTATTTCTGAAACCTGTTGGTTTTTTTTTGTGGGTGACAGGTTCAGATCCGCCCATGGAACCTGAACGACAGCGATTTTGTGATGGACGGTTCTCAGCCTCTGGACCCGAGGAAAACCATCTTTGTTGGAGGAGTCCCTCGTCCGCTCCGTGCAGGTATATTTTATTTCTATGTTAAGCGGGAGGATTAACAACAGGGTCTTTTTAAATAACAGCACTAACATTTGAAATACATACTGTTTTCTGTCATTAATCCAAGGCCTTAAATTGTTTCTGTGCTCCTTTCATCGTATTTATTTTTACATATGGCGGTATTATAAATAACAAGAGACACTAAGCAGCCATCTTTTAGGTCTCATTTCTTCAAAATCTTTGAAGTGACAGCATTAAACAAAAAAAAAAAAAACGTATTTCTGGAAGACACAGCAATGTGATCTGCTCTAGCTTGCTAGTGTGATGAGCTCAAAGCTACACTGTGCTGGTGAAATCTGCTTTGACCTGCCCTGGCCTTGTCAGGAACAAGCCTCCATGGCGCTCTGTCTTCTTGTGTCCCATATTAAATTCCTTTTTATCTTGATCTCAGTGTTATGTTTACTGCATCTGTGGTGTCTGTGTTTAGTGCTCTTAATGTAATCAACAAGGTCACAAGTCCCTGTGGTGCATTAACTGTTTTATCAGCCTCTGTAACATTTGGATGTAAAATAACAGGTCTTGAACTTGTGTTTTAATTTGACATTTTTTATGTCTTGCTTTCAAAGCTGCATTGTAAATGTGCAGGGTTATCTCACCTTCATTTGCATCTTTGTTAATGCCTGTTAAGAAAACCACAATAAACCGTATATCAAGTTTTTGGTATAACGTCTGCTGACCCTACTCTCAGATTGACCCTATCAAACTCTGTGAACTTTAATTCATCAGTGAGTACAGCTTTAAGCTCCCAGATCAACAACCCTCATCATCTTGGTGTTCATTGGCTACATGGGCACAAGTTCATGTTTTAAGCTTGTTTCTTCTCTCATGCAATCAAATGTTTTCTTCCCTGTGTTCAGGTCTTTTACTTCTGTTCTTAAAACTTGTTATTTCTTAATATTTCCTTCACCTATGTGTTATTTTTTCCCCTTTTGCAGTGGAGCTGGCAATGATCATGGACCGCTTGTACGGCGGGGTTTGCTACGCTGGCATCGACACAGACCCTGAGCTGAAGTACCCCAAGGGAGCGGGGCGGGTCGCCTTCTCTAATCAGCAGAGCTACATTGCTGCTATCAGCGCTCGCTTTGTACAGCTGCAGCATGGAGAAATCGATAAACGGGTGAGTAGGGAGAGAAAGAGAACTCAGTGTTTTTTCGACCTCCCCTCTGGGTCCCCTTTTTTCTTCATTTGTCTCCACTTGCCTCACTTCCTGTTCTGTTTCCCTCACACTCTCCTCCCCTTTCCCCCCCATTTCGGAGTTGTGCTGAAATAAGGAGGTGTTATTAGGTTAAATTAATGAGTGCAAAATGTAGCACTGTATTCAGATATTTTGTGTTTAGAGGTTGAGGATGTGTGGGAGGGAAGCACAATTCAACTCTTTGTTCATCCACATAGAATATCAGTCATTATAGCAACATTTGTCCTCATCCAAGCTTCATTTGGAGGATTTCTTACTTATTAACATTGACTGTAACCACAATTTAGACTTAAAAACACTCGTATCAAAAAGACAGTAACGCTTAGATAAAAAGAAAAACAGCAAGCACTTCCATTTGTCATCTTTCGTTTATTGAATTCTTATTTGACCTTTAATTCTACAGAGCAGAGTACTTTGGAGGAGTCAATGGAAACAATAAAAGCAGACAGGGTCAGTTATGGACAACACGGTTAAGGTTACAGAGAGGTTTTTTTTGGATCAGTAGAAGTGATCCACTTTTTGGGGTTTTGTGCTATTCATCTATATAACATTAGCCCACAATGAATTCTAAATCTCTCTTGTTACCATAGTTTATATTCCTACAATCACTCTTGACACTTTTGTCGTTTGTCTACACTTTGTAGCTGAAGCTATCCATGATTTATTGACTGTTGTCAGCAGCTAAGGAATTACAGTTGAACTGCTAAAAGTGGCCTGTAATAGTCTCACTTGATTCATATTTGCAACTTAAAAACGAGTGAAAAAGTAAATCAAGTGAAGAGACACCATCATATTATAAATTGCTGTAATAATAGTACGCTACTTTCTCATTTGCATAATTGGGGTGCATATTTGTGGACTAAGAGTGCCTACGTGACATTCACTTGCTGATAGCACAATCCCTCATACTGAGCAGTTGGAAAAGCCAGTAAATGGAGTTCAGTACAATCAGAAAAGGGAGTTTGAAATCTACAAACTTGAAGTAACATGCAAATCTTCAGCTAACAGCTCATTGTGGCTGTCCCTTCCCCTTCCCCCACACCCTGCAGTGTGCAAAACTTAAAAGATATCTTTATGTATGCCGTGTCAATCATTTTCATGGTCAGTGCAAACTTCTGTGATAAATACATTGCATTTACTGTGGCTGCAATAGGAGCCATTCCATGTTTGACAAGTTGAATTATTAAATGTGAAACAAAAGCTCGACTGAATAAAGCTCTGATTTGGTGTTTGAGGAGTGAACAATAAAGAGAGGCTGATATCCTGGATAGAATGAAGAAACGGTAACATTAAACAAGATTAACAATCTCTGCCACTAAAAGAAGAAACTAAAGGTACAGCTTAATAACTGTAGACCATAAAGTGTATGAAAGAAGGATGTGATTCCTGCAACTTCACTAAATTATACTCGGTAGAAACTCAAAACTAGTAGGGAACAGCAGTGAACAGAATGAGAAATGATAAAGTAATGACCATACTAGATTAAAATCATCCCCCCCTCTGATTACAGGTGGAAGTGAAGCCATACGTGCTGGATGACCAGCTGTGCGATGAGTGCCAGGGAACTCGCTGCGGGGGGAAGTTTGCGCCGTTCTTCTGCGCCAACGTCACCTGTCTGCAGTACTACTGCGAGTACTGCTGGGCTGCCATCCACTCCCGCGCTGGACGAGAGTTCCACAAACCCCTGGTGAAGGAGGGCGGCGACAGACCCCGTCACATCTCTTTCCGCTGGAACTAAAAGGGCCTGTGGAGAGGGAGAGGCAACAGGGGAGCAGGAGGGGCAGGTAGTGCAGGAGTCGCAAATCATTGTACAAATAATTGCACTTTTCTGTTGCTGGTTCCTTTTTGCTCTAATTTCACTGAACCTTTTTCTTATTTTTTTTTAAGTTAATATATATCTATATTTTGAAGAAAGAAAAGAAAACTGGAATTATATCCAAATATGTCCAGCAAGGAAAAAAGACGTGTAACATAATTTAATGTGTTTTGATTTTTGAAATATTTTTATTAGTTCTCAAAAGATACATATATAGGAAAGTTTGAGGTGTGATGTGATACTCTGCTATTCAATTGGCATGTTCTAAAGTATGTATTTAATTTTATACAAGATGCCCCAGAAGACACACTTCATTTGATATTTGATTGGCTTCTTTTGTAGCAGAGCTATTGCTTTTTTTTTTTTTTTCTATCGAGTCTCCAGAGCCAATGCTGCTGAAACAGTATCTCGTTGGCTCTTTGTATTGAAGAGGTGTGATTACATTTTTATTATTTTAACAAGAGGCTCAAGAGCAAATGTGAATTGAAAAAGGTGTTGCTAAAGAAGAGTGCACTTATTTCCAGTCGAAAGAGTGCAGATCCAGTGTATGAGACCCTTAGTAGTTTACCAAAGCTGAATCTCCATTTACTCTGAGGAACAGAGAGGGCCCGCTGCAGAGAGAAACCAATCCTTTTCCTCCCCGATCAAAATGTTTGAACTTCTCTCTTTTATGATTTCCCAGATCATACAAATGTTTTGATATTACTTGAAAATCACAACAAATTTCTTTAGCAACACACATTTGGGTTTTGATCTCCATTTTGACATGCAAAAACTAATACCTCAAACTCAGCTGCTAATGTGCCGAATACAGTTTAAAAAAAGAGAGAGAGAGAAAGAAAGAAAGAAAGAAAGAAAACATTATCACCCGCTGGTGTTCTCCTTTCCTTAGAGCTCTAATCAAAGGGAAGTGATGCAACAAGCCGAGTGTGATGTGACTGGCACAGTTTTGTACTCACTTGCTTCATCACCTCCTTATTTTTGTAGTCAAACCCAGGGTTGTTCCAGGGTCAGAGAGAAGTGTACTAGGGGAATGTATCGCGTCAGGAGGCTATATGAGAGAGAGACAGGCTAACTGCTACAGAGATAAATCCAGCCCCCAGATCCCCCTCTCCTAATGTCTGCCTGCAACCTTCTGATGCTAAGCTAGCAGCTAACAGAGGGCAGGGCCTCATTCATGGATCAAAACCTGCCCGCAGTGGGTCTTTGATCCAGATCTTTCAGGACGGAGGTGAAGGTTAACTCCTCGAGAGAAGGCTGGTCAACGCCGCCTTTTTTATTGCAGTTTTTTTTTTTTTTTTTGGAACGGGAGCTATCACCAAACAGGAGATGCCTGTCTTTGATAGTTTGTTTTATTTTCCAATGCATTTGTGCAATTCTCCCAAGTCTTGAATGAAAAAAAAAAAAAAAAAAAGTTCTACTTCGCATCCGAGAGTCAGCTACATTTAACGAAAGGAGCAATTAAAGTTTGTCTGCTTTCTCGAATTGTCAGCACACATTTGAGTCATGCAGGGATCTGCCCTTTTGGCGAACCCCCTTCTATCTTTTTCTCCTGCCAAGCTTATCCAACTCAGCATCCAGTGTTTTTGAAGCATAAATGAAGATAGTCTCTGCAGTGTGCTCTACTACTACACACTTGTTACCCACATGCAGTTCGCTCTTTATAGCAGTCGGTTGTGCCCGGTGGTGTTTGGGAACCAAAGATGGCTGTGCAGTAGTGGGTCATACTGTAGCTCATTTCTTTTTTTCTTTTTCTTTTTTTTTTTAGGTTTTTACTCTTGTTTTCCTTTTCTCATTTCTTCAAGGACATTTTTTATATATATATTTTTTAAAATCTGTCACTTCTACCCAGTTTTGCTTAACTGTCAAGCCCAGCAAACCAAAGATTGGCCTTGAACACACTATTTATATAAACATATAGAGATTTGACAGTGCAGTCAAAACCCATTAGAAAAACCAGTGGAAGAACATCAGGGCCTGCAGGAATACACACACACACACACACACACACACACACTCACAAGCGCACACACACGCGCACACACACACACACACACACACACACACACTCACAAGCGCACACACACACCACACACACACAAGGCCTCACACTCTCCATAGCTCAAAAAGGAAGTGCGCTGGTAGCCACTAGTTCTTTATATCTCAGATAGGTCTGCGTGTTTAGGAAGAATTAAACATGAAGTGCACATTCACAGCAAAATTGAATCTAATCCTCACATTTGTTTGACATTTTCAGTCACTCAGTGGTAATCTACTAGCTGAGCATTTAAACATGTCAGGGAGTTAGTACAGAAACTTGATAATACACACTAGTGAGAAACGTATCCTCATATCGGCGGGTGTCGTTGCACCAGTTTTTGCACCCTGGTCATTAGTTTTGTGGGTGCGTTGGGTGAGCATTTTAGAAGTTAAAACACTTTGTGAAGAATTTGCTGTTAAATGAGATGATAAAAAAAAAAAGATTATTTTATACATGGCCTGCTGATTTTTTGGTACAGTGTTTTCTAGCTAAATTATTTTGTCATGCACATGTAAACATTTATTATGCACTACTTTTCTAAATATTTTTTCTTTTTCCAACAGTCATTTTAGGCACATTTTTCACAAATGGGGAAACTCCTTTTTGCAATACCTCAATTTTTCACATTGTGAAAGGTAGCTTTTGTACTTTTGTTACTGAGAGATCTGCATATATGGAAATGTTCATTTTAAGAAAAAAGTTGAGTGATTTCAATATATATTATTTTCAATTATGCTTTTTATACATTTCAGTGCTGAGGAAACTTTACAACTAAGTGTGCACTTGTGTTGATGCGACTTCAGATCTGCAGAGGAGAGGCCAAAGTGTATCGCTCTCTTGGTCTTGGCTTCTCGTACACTAGATGTTTCCAGTCAATCTGGTTAATAACAGCATGGCGAGAATAATAAATGAAAAAAAAAAAACAAGTTGTAATTTGAAATCGATGTTAATGTCTCTAAACATGGCTATACTAGTTGGGAAATGGTAACTTCTGTCTTGGTTTCCTCTCCATAGATGGAGTATAACTTATTATAAGGAGAATGCAAAATTTGGTTCACGCATACTGCTGAATCTCTTATCACAAGAATGGATGTTTGGTGTTTAGATATTTTAATATTTGAAAAAAAAAAAGTATATATATATTCTTGAACTTGCCAACTAGCACCTATTGTAATCCTTAGCATGCATGACATAAAAAGAGAAAATGACAAGTACATGAATTAGCTATTAAAAATTAATTGTTGTGGTGTGCACCAAATGTTTCTAAACTATTAACTTGTTAAGGACAAGCCTCCCCAAAACCCACTCTCACCTCAACCCCCCTCCCAACACCTCCCCCGTCCCCCACGTGTTGATGTCCTCGCTTCCCCCATTTGCAGACCTCTGCAGGATGCACATGACAGAGAGCTAAGACGAGAAACAAGACAGAACGTAACTTTAAATCGATTCGGCAGTGCAGGACTTTGAGCATCCTTCTAAACACTGTTTTTAAAAAGACTTGAGAACTCATCCCGCTGTCTGTCGAAGGTGATCTTATATAGACCTATCTGGAGGAAGGGGAGCTTAAAGACTTGAATGTGGTAAATGTTGCAAGTTAACTTCAAGTTGTTATGTGCAATACTTCTTTTGAACCTTTTTCCAGATAAAGACTCTTTGCAATGTAATTCTTTATTGCCATTTTTAATTGCAGACATTTAATTAAAGAAGATGTTAATATGTTTTTCACAGTCATTTTCTACTGTTATTGTAATCCTTTTCATGCTGGTGTTTGTAAAAAAGAAAAGAAATCAAACTATTTGTACTAATATAAATAATTGAAGTTATTTTTAAAACATTAAAGGTTTTGTGCTCATTTGCTTATTTTGTTTATTTTAAGCTACTGTGATTGATTGCATTGTAATTATTAGGTCAACAATGTATTTAGCTGTTTATTGGTATATTTTTAATTGGAATGTATAATTGATTTTTATAATTTTGATCAGATTTTTGTTATATTTTTGAGGTGAAGCTTTTAATATGTTAAAGTGTCTAGTTTTTACTAATTGCTATATTGTGCTCCACAATATATGGTTCACATTTTCTGAAGGAAAATAAATATTTAAATATTTGTCTGTTAATGATGTTACTTAATGGCAAGATTTCAATAGTTTTTAACTGTGTATGGGAAGGTTGTTGTATTTATTAATAGCATTTTTTACTTAAGATATCACCTTAATTTTTATTGTCATTTCACTTTATAAGTTCCTATTTTTGTATTTTCCTTTCTAATTAAGTTATGTAATACGGATATGTCCATATTTCTAGGAGTTGGTCTGTAGAAGTGCTAGTGAACGAAAAAGAAAAATCTAATGTTATTTAATTGTTTGCAGCCAACTATTTATAACAGTATGCATAATTTTTAAATATTTGTAATGTGAAATGTTGAATGAAATAAATCTTAACTGTGATGAACTTTTGTGCTCTGTGTGCTTATTATGTTTAATGTTTCGTCTTTAAAGCTCTTACAGGATAATCATAGTAACTTGTCACATCTCTGCCTTGTAGTTGAAGCATGTGTGAGTTGTTGTTTACCTTCCAAGACAACGGGTTAAACATAAATGTGTGGCTTTTTAACCGCTTTAATAGGTTACGAATGAATTCCTAACAGTTTGAAAAGTGGTGATTTGACATCTTGTGAAACCACTGAAGGTCATCACTACTAAAAAACTAAAAGCTGCAGATCTCAGGTTTGGAGCTCTCTGGTTTTGTGGCCGTTACTACGAAGCAGGTTCAACATACCCAGGGTATCTTTCAGTTATCTGGCTTCACTTACCCTGACATTAAGAGATCACACTAAACGATCACAAAGCTGGATATCAACTAAATCAACCCAGAGTTTCTACGAGCGTGTTCACATACAGTAAAGGTGGCTGTTTTAGCTTCACATAACCAATTATGAGCAAGTCTGCTGTCAGTAAGTTGTCATATTTCACAAACTTAGAATATACTTTAGCCCATTCAAAATATCATGAAGTCTAAAACAGGAAGTATACCCACCTGAAGGCAAACCTCTCCCATAACCTGGTAGCTACAGGTAAAACAAATGCTATTCTCTACTTATTTGGCTTATTCTTTAGTTTGAATTTTTTTGCTGTAAATAATGAAGTCTTTGATTTCCCAGAAGATCCTACCACGTGGAAGACAGAATGGCGAAGTGAAAAAGAGAAAAGGAAACTAATCTAACATTTTGTGTCCATACAAGAGAGGAAAGAAGCAGCAACGTTTTGGCTAAGAAGGTTCTTTGGATCATCTTCTCAGTTTGATCCCCTGCTCCTCCACTCCACATGCTGGAGAGTCCTTGTTCTTGGGCTCAATGATGAAGCTGAAGTGCTCCAACTATTTTGTTAGTGATTATTTATATGGTCAGAAATTTAAACCACTTCCCAGTTGCCCAACATGTTCGGGTCATATCGCTGTTTAAAAGGAGCCCGTGTAACCTATGAAAACACATCAAAACTCTTTCCCTTCTTGGTCCACTGACAGATTCCTACTAAACAAGTAATGATAAACTCTGAGTTTAATTTAGGCTCATGCCCAAATCACATGTTCATAATTTACTTTGGGGATCCACAAAAACTGGACATGCTATCTTAGAATCAAAACAAAGAGGGCTGACTCAGTCATGAGTTGTTTTCCAAAAGCTAATTATACTGGCTGATAGCTCAGATACACCACCAGCTGGTTGTATTTTGCCCTGTACAGATTAAAAGTCTGATCATTGCTCATTCAAATATCAGTCAGTTTTGTTGGTAAAGATGCATTCTATTAATCAGCCAAGCTTTTAATTCATGTATGTTCTTACCCACCTGATATAAAGCTCCGGGCTTATGACACATTTTGCAAATGGACAAATAAAGAAGATCAGTGCTGGACTAAGAGAGGACTGATCTTTCCTCTCAACACTTTTGCTTAGACAAATTACCACAAGGTAGAACGAGTTGCAACAGAACGCCACCTTCGGCTCAACCTATCTAAGCCTGAGCACCTTGTCATCCCTCCCAGTTCCTCTATGCAACCACAGATCGATATCCAGCTTGGACCAGCCACACTCATACCCACACAGTCTGCCTTGGAACCTAGGAGTCATGGTTGATGACCAGCTAACATTTAAGGTTTACAAGGTCGTCTCAATTTGCCCTATACAACATCAAGAGGAACAGAGCCTACCTGTCAGAGCATGCTCCACAGCTCCTGGTACAGCCTCTTGTCGTATCACTCATGGCACACAGTAATACACATGTGCCAGTACAACCTGAAACTGCAATGACTATTTGACCACTTATAACTTCCCAGAAACAACTGAGGCCAAATAAACAGATCTCTGTTTCCCCTCAAAAACAAATATCTCAACTTATGTCTGAGTTGTGTTCACGCTCAGATAGTCTGTGAATTGATGTGCTGTTTTTTTTTCACAGACTTGCATACCCCTTTAAATATCAGCTGTTTTTTTTTTGTTTTTTTTTTAACCTCAGACTGTGTGTCGGTCATCAAACCACCAGATGGCGATGTAGGACAAAACAAAACAAAACAGATTGGATTTGCCTAGGTTCATGCTGCTTTCAATGCTACCGGGAATATTGTTCGTTTAATCTATTATCCCAAAGTTATAGGCCTTTTCCTTTATATTTTCAGCTGGAAAAGTGTCAATTTTCCTTTTATTTCATTTGATTGCTACGCCTATTGCATTTAAGAAAAATAATTTTGTGTCATTAACTTTATTTTTTGGGGAATGACAAAAACATTCAGTTCATTACTTTAGCTGGGCTATCATTCATATATCGAGATAAACAGGGATAAAAAAAAAAGAAGTATTTTACAAATTGCCTGTACTTAAAAAAAAACCCAAAAAACAATAGGGTAGCCTATTATTAACATAATAAATAAACAACATATAGGCTACGTCCAACCTCCTTGCGTGAGTAAACGTGAAGCCCTTAAAAGCATCATTAATTCGGCTTCCACTTTGGCAAAACAAACGAGACTCCCAAAAAGAACAAAAAAAATAAAATATATCCCCCTAGCGGCAGCTCCAGCGGCTGGTTGAAGCAGCAGCAGCAGCAGAAGCAGCAGCAGCAGAAGAAGAAGAAGAAGAGGCTCTGTGTTTGTTTGGATTAGGGGGTTGGGCTGCCTGCTGGTAGGAAACCGCCGCCAGACATCCAGTTCGTCCCCGGCGGTGCAGCGTTGCTTTCCCGCAGCCTCAGCAGCATCGACTCCGCAGCGCAGCCTCCAGCCTCACCTGCTCCTCATCTGCGCCTTTCCTCCGCCTCAGTCCAGACACAAACACTGCAGCACGCAGGGAGACGGACGGACAAGGACGACCGGCTGTAAGTTACTGCTTTTTTGGGTTATATGTTAGTTATTACAGAGAGAGGTGGAGGTTTTGCTATTGGTGGATGTTAGATTTTCTCTGTGGTTTCCTGAAAATAAATAGTCCGAGATACGTTTAGGTTGTAAAGAAAATGTGCCGTTTTGGAATTTTTGATTCTCTTCAATCGCATGCTCCCGATTTAATTATCATGGATCGAACAAAAATCCCAGTCATTTGCTTACGTTTATCCACATTCGTTGCGTAGGCTACTTTATTAAAGCTACATTTAAGTTAAATCACCATTCATATTACATTTTGAGTTAAATTAGAATCATCCTCATCAAAAAGCCATTTGCTGCCAGTTTTCTTTGACCTGAAAAGGCTGTGAGGTAAAAGTCATCTCCCCCCCCCCAACACCTCCTCTTCCATTCAGGAGCAGTCTTCAGGGAAATAAGGGAATATATTGAAGGTCGGTGAAAGATGGTGAAACTGGGGAGTAATCTTCAGGACAAAGGGGCCAAACCTGTGAGCGTGGAGGACGGCTTTCAGAATGTGCCCCTCATCACTCCTCTGGATGTTGGCAGCCTGCAGGGCCAAGCACCTGAAAAGGTGAGCAGCCCCCACAGCCTCAGTGATGTGTGTTTGTGTGAGATTTCTTTTTTCCAGCTTGTTTGTGCATCTGTCTGTTTTTCTTAATCTCCTTCTGTTTGTATTTACTCTGTGTTGTTGACCTACCATGTCCCCAAACCCTCTTATGCTGAACACCCCACCTCATACAACCCCCCCCCCCCCCCACCCTCCCCCACACACCCACACATTTGAATTCATTCACAATTCATTCATCTCAGCTGTCACCCGGCCATGTCCTTTGTTTTTCTATCTGAGATTAGGAGACAGATTTGGTGCCAGACAGACTGTCATTTATCATTTGAACATCCCAGAGTAACTGCACCGCAGCTTGTTAATCCAGTTACCATGGCGGCAGTGCATGGCGGTGTTTCCATGTAGGTTTGGACAGAGAGCTGCACTGATTACACATTATGAAAATCAATGGTATTAGACAATAGTTAGGCTCATTAATGCTCATTCTGAAAGCATCTTATTATGGATGTACTGTGTGACAGTGTTTTGTTCATTTCAAGGTTACTGTGTAATGATTTAATTCAGCGGCTTTATGTGTTTCATATTGCTGCTCTGCATTTACTTATTATAGATGAATGGATTTGATTCATCATCAAGTCCTCATCAGTGGGTTAGCTTGCATTATATTTAGTAACACAAGGGTTATAGCACTTTAGAATTCAAACCAGTGGAATGTCAGATATATAGAGCTTTAAACTAGAGTCTGTTTGGACAATCAAATCAGATTAGCAGGAACACAGTTTAATAGATACTTAATAGAAAAAACAAATAAGAACCAGGTTTCCTCTGGGGAATTTACACACTTACAAATCTCTCTCTATCCTCAGAAATTGAGTTCATTTTACTTCTGAGATTTGGTATCAGTAAAAAAATAAAAAAAAAAGCCAAATCATTAAATCTTTATTTAAAAAGCACCAACACAACAACATGTCTCTAATGAAACTTCAGTTAAAGAGCAGGTCTAGATTGTACTGTGTGTTACATTCTTTACAGAGACCCAGAGCTAATCAACAATTAGCAAGCACTTGGCAACAGTGGCAGTGGCCAATTTGGGACAAGGAGGTGGAAGTTGAAATGGAGAATAAAAAAATGTTGCTGTCAGGAAAAACTTTGGACTTTAATCGGAAAATAGTCAGACCGAAGGGGTCGTGAACAAAGCCATTGTAAAATTGGTTTTGATTCGTCTTTGAATCAGTTACTGAATAGACAGAACTGTTTTTTGATAAAAAGTCTGATACTGATTCAGCAATTTATGAAATGTTTCAAGCATGAATGTCAAACATCATTTGATTTCTCTGTTTGGTAAACATGAAGGTAAGGCTTGCCATATTGGAGAATTAGATTATTCAATGTCTTCCTCAGAAACAAAAGAGAAGGCAGACACAGCTTTTTTGTCTGTTTAGTAATTGAAGGTTACAACATGCTGCTGGGTAGCTTAGAGCCAAGAATGAATCAGTGAGCTCTCTATCAGTAACAAAATCCACCTACAAATGCCTTTAAAGCTCACTAATTAGCAGAATATTCTTTTTAAACGGACATCAGGAATCACTGGCTTCAGCCAAGAAAGAGCCCAGCAATTACACATCAATAAAACTGAAACTTGTCACTTTTACATTTAGGTTGATTTTAGATTGAAGCATAAAATCTAAAGAGTTTGCTTAAAATATGCTGAAGTGTAGATATCATAATCTTTAAATGTTTACAAGCTCCAGCTTTCAGTCTTTATGTTACTGTTAGTGAAACTTAGCTTTCCTTCTGGCTCCAGCAGAACATTTTACAGTAAAGTCATAAGTGGTAGTAGACGTGGTGGTCATAAACTGTAAGTGGTAGCAGTGGTTCAGAAAATAAGTCATAGTTTTACAAGTATGGAAACTATACCCAAAATATCTGTTCTTTAAATCTCTTTAAGTTTTAGACAGTTGCTGGCACCAAAAAAGCCCACCAGGCTCCAGAAGCTTGGGCTTTTTTTTTTCTTCAAATGTTTCCTTGACAAGTACTTTTCTGATTCAAAATAAGCATGAGTCAAAACTTCAATCCTTTTCAAAAACGCCACCAAAACAGCTTTTCTTCTTATAAAAAATAGTGAAATGATTCAGTGATAAACAGAAACAGCACACGTAAACAATGTGAAGATGATGGTCGATGGGGCCTTCATGTGACATATTTTTTTATACAGTAAATGAAGCAAAGGTGATAGAATTATGACCTAAGTCACATGTTGCGTACACTGTAAAAAATGTTCAACCTAACCCTCAGTATGTATTCTGCTGATGGAGGCACAATCTCTTTCCATTTCATATACCTGCTAACTGGGGAGGCTTGTCATTCACTTCATCCCCCCCCCCACACCCAGAAGGCTTATACTGTTGTACAGGCATGTGAACCTGTGTGTGTGTTTGATTGACGAGTCAGTTCTGTCAGCAGCCATCAGGTCATAACATGACTTTTATGGAGCTGTCAGTTATTTTACACTGATTAAATCACTCCCACGAGACTGGAGAACATGTCTACATTTACTGTGCTCAAAGCTGCCATCGTGTGAAGATTATGCCACACATCTACACACACCTCTACACACACCTCTACACATCACCATGGCAGTGTACTGTGTGATTGATGTCCAATGGGGATATAGCTTGATTACCTGAATAGGTATAGTAACAGAGACAGAGAATAACCTGGGTGAAGCATGATTTCCTGCGATATACTTTTAAAAAAAATATTTTTGTCTGTGACATTTAAAGAAAAAGAGGTCAGTCATCTCAGCAGGCTGTTTTGTTGACTATCAGTGAATTTTTAGATGCCTCAGGAGACGCAGGCAGAAAGATTGCTGTTTCTTGTTGCTTTCTGAATCACACCCTGACAGCCAATGAATGCAGATTCTGTATGCATGCTCGCTTTCTCCCAGGACTGACAAATTGTCGGTTCGGCTTGTGCATAATCCGGTTGAAGTTGTCCATTCTTAAAGGCATTAGTGGGGAAAATGTCTCTTTTAGAAATCGTTATGCAAATGCAGATGGATCCATTTGTTTTTACACGGGACAGAGTGGGAGTTGTAAAGGTCAATTTGCTGCTAAATCTTGAAACATGTCTCCTGCTGTGAGTGTGAGGATTTGTCTCTCTGGAAAGTGATGTGTGAACAACACAGAGGTCAACAGAAATAAGACTGAAATCTGTGACTAGATGTCAGAGTCAGCGAGGCGTTAATGAATGCTATCACACACAATCATTACATCTGTAGACGACAAGATCAGCAAAAAGGTAGGAGGCACCGCTTTGTCCACAGGGGGCACCAAAATCAACATTAACTGTAGGATCCTCACTTGGAGATGTTTTCATGGCCAACTTGTTAGAAACCAAATATAAAAAAAAAATTAATATAATATAATAACATAATCAGATAATAATTTTCTTTACAAAACCTTTAACATTAGTGAACATTAACCAACTTGAAGCAAGTTGCTAACTGGCTCCGTGCTCTAGCTGGTGTAGACCAAGTCGCCTCTGCTCTGCTACATCTGAAAACATCGCTTTGATGGCAAAGAATAAACACTGGATTATAAGGCCTGACAGAAGAAAACAACGAGTTTAACTTGGAGCTACATATTTTCTGTGTCTTTATATATGTACATTGTTTATATTTTAATATCATCCAAAGCAACTCTGGGGTCAAAGACACTGAAGGAAGCCAAACCCATGGAGTTCTGTCCCTAAACCTTTATACAGTGTACATCAGTGTTATCTTTTAGGATGAAAATCTTCTTTAATCTCTCTGAATTTAAGTTTGTTGTTTTCGTCAGCTCCGCATAGATGCTGTTCATTGATGATCAGCTTTGAACTGGCTTTGAGAATCTGATCTGAGACCAGTTCTGTCCTTTAGAGCTAAAGCGAGGTTTATAGGGTGATGTGACATGACTTGTACCCCAGATCAGCAGCTTTACAGACACACAACCCCGGCTGTTTTTCCCTGATCCCACCCAATGACTGAGTGACCTCCCCAGCTACAGGGTTACCAAGGAATATCTGCAGGGGCGGGATGAAGTTCACACACATAGAGACACACACGCACACACAAACACATAATAATGCTGCTGTGGGCTGCAGAGGCTGAGGCATTAGAGAGGGTATTAGATTTGATTCCATCTGGGCAGGGACGAGTCACAGCCACCACCAGGTCACCAATATCTTGATTGGATTGCTGCAAGTTTGAAAAAAAAAACCCCCAACAACAACAAGACGCCGAGGAGAGTGGAGAAACATAGAGATTGTTAGAGTGATAGATCATTTCTTTTAGTTCTTTCTCTCCCTGACATCAAAGCTCGGGTACAAAGACCTGCTTCAAAGGCTGTGACATTCCCTGTTTGACACATCTCCTTAAACACGCGTGTCCTTTTCTTGTTTCTCTCCAAGTGTTTCCTTTTGGAGCGGCTTTTAAGTCTCATTTAATCTTAATAACTGTGTGTTGTTCTTGTCCTCATGAATTTGAAAGGGCTTGCTTTGAGTAGGATGAAGAAGAAAGATTTTGTATGTGTTGTTGCGACAATGCAATGTAATTGCTCATTACAAGATGAAACATCATCTATGTTTAATTTGGCAAATGATCATAAATTATAGCAGACCTATTTGTAGATGTATCTGGCTGGTTTTGCTTTGAGCCAGTAAGAGTAACTGTGACTCCTGAAGTAAACAGCAGTTACCCAACTAATCATCCATACTTTATTCTACGTGTCAAACTGGGAAAAGTGCTCATTAGAGCTTCTGAAACCTAATGTCACTTCTTTACATTTCTTCTCTTGTACAACAGCTCAAAACCTGAAGATCCTTTATACACCTTTATAAATGACAAAGAAACACACCATATCTGCACAGTGGAAAGCTGGAATAGACAGATATTACAAACATTTGCTTGAAAAATGACTGAAATAATGAATCAGCTATGAAACAGTTAGCAATTATTGACTAATGGA